GGGTGGTGTTTTTTTTTTTTTTTTTTTTTTTTGGGGGGGGGGGGGGAGGCAGAATACTTGATCCAAAATAAAACTATGAAAAGAACATTTCTATTCATCCCAAACCTGTCTGAAGAGAGCGTAAGGTAACTATCTTGTTTTTTTAGCTTACAACTTCATAATAGATATGTTTAACAACTATGATAAAACACTCGTATCAGAACCGTTGAAATACATCTTTATTTCATTTAGTTTCTATCCTTTAATACAGGCCCGCACAACTCAAAATGTAAGGCGGGCCGTAATACTTTAGAAAAACTTGTGTGGGCCAAAAGAAAATAGGACAGGGGGAAAACTTTTAAGAAAATAATAAGAATAAAGAATATTTCGTTAACTCGCGGGCCGCAAAGTGGGTGCTGGCGGGCCGCAAAGTGGGTGCTGGCGGGCCGCAAAGTGGGTGCTGGCGGGCCGCAAAGTGGGTGCTGCCTGGCCGCAAAGTGGGTGCTGGCGGGCCGCAAAGTGGGTGCTGACTGGCCGCAAAGTGGGTGCTGGCGGGCCGCAAAGTGGGTGCTGGCGGGCCGCAAAGTGGGTGCTGGCGGGCCGCAAAGTGGGTGCTGGCGGGCCGCAAAGTGGGTGCAATCCGAGTATTCAACAACAAACCCCGGATGAGCAGAGAAATAAAGGAGGCCATCCACCACAAGAGGATCATGTTTAGGATTAATGATCAGGAATTCATTAAAGCTAAAAAAAAATATTGAAAGAAAAAATATATCAGGGTAAAAAAACGATACAAGCAAAAAAATCGAAAAAATTTTCACTACTAACAATTCAAAGGCTTGTTGGAGAGGACACGGGGTGGTAGTTTATTGTTTACCGAACAGAGAGTGATGTCATTATTTAAACAAGTGGACGCAGGCAAAGCCTCGGGACCAGACAACTTAAGTGGTCGGCTCATTAAACTATGTTCAGAGCAGCTCTCCTACATTTTTTGTTACATATTTAATAAATCTTATGTAACTCACACAATACCAGCAATATGGAAAACTTCAGAAATCATACCAATTCCAAAGAAAATTAAGGTAACGTCCAACAACGACTTACGACCTGTTGCACTTACCTCTATTGTCTTGAAATGTTTTGAGAAAATAATTCTGAAAGAAATTTGGAATGAAGTACAGCCAAAACTTGACCCCCACCAATGTGCTTATAAGCCTTCCAGAAGTACGGAGGACGCAATCTTACTATTGTTGGAGAGACTTGACCATCACCTAGACAGTCCTAAAACATATGCCAGAGTGCTTTTCTTAGACTTCTCATCAGCATTTAACACTATCCAACCACACGTTATGATAAAGAAACTTCCTCGTTAGGTGTCCATTTAAATATTCAGGCTTGGATACTGAACTTTTTAACAAATCGACCACAATATGTCAAGGTAAATAACCAAGTATATCTAACCAGAGAAGTAAGCACCGGGGCACCACAAGGCTGCGTTCTCTCCCCTGTACTGTATACAATATATACAAATGATATTCAAAGCTCAAGCAACACCGTTCCAATCTTAAAATTTCCTGATGATACCACCATTGTTGGCTTAATTTGTGAAGGAGAAGGCCTATACCGCAATACAAGCTTTATCAATTGGTGCAATGAAAATTTTCTCCAGTTGAATGTCTCAAAAACAAAAGAAATGGTTGTTGATTTCAGGAGAGGGGGAACACCAGATTACAGATCTCAACATAAAAAATCAAAATGTGGAGAAAGTGGAGGCATACATGTACTTAGGTGTCACCATTAATAATAAGCTAACATGGCATGAGGACGGCCAAAAAAATGATATATTTTCAGAATAGAAGGAATTGTGAGTTTAACGGAAATATTATGTATTCATTTTTATTTATTTCCATACACTTTTTATATATACGTTTTAAAATACCTATATAGATGTGGCTGATAAGAACAAAAATAATTGTGTAGTTCACTTTTGTATTACACTGATATTGTAAGATAACATAGACTGCTTAATGCGAAGGAAATAATAGAACAAGGTACCGATGTATGTGGAAGCTTGAATAATAATAATAATAATAATAATAATAATAATAAAGTTTATTTGAAAAACACGCTTCATCCCCAAAAGCTTGAAGCACGGTACAAAGTCAACCACATTATAAAGAGAAATAAAAACAATCTAAAATTGACCACATTTAAAAAACAGACGCAACAATATAAAGCTACATACGAGCATACCAAGTCAAAGTCTTTCATCCCATTTCAACCATAAGCAACACGAGCCAATACACATTAACTGAAAAAAAGATGGTAGATAGCATCACCCCAGAAGGTGTTTGCGAAATAGACGCATTTTTAAATCGATTTTAAATGACTCCAGTGTCTGGCTGTTTCTGAGAGCGACTGGAAAGGCGTTCCAAATTGTTGGGCCGGCAAATGCAAAAGTGCGCTTTCCGTAAGTCTCAAGGCGAACACACGGTATCGATATTTTGCCACTATCGGATGAGCGGAGCTCTCTAGTGGCTACATAAGGCGTCATGAGTGCTTTGAGATAAGACGGCGTCAGGTCATGTAAGCATCGGTAGAACAAAGTTGCAATTTTGTACTCTATGCACGTGTGGACCGGCAGCCAGTGCAGCTCCCTCAGAAGTGTTTTAGCATGGTCAGATTTTCATTTGCGAAGAACATAGGAGCCAGAATGATCAATTCACTGATCTTGGGCCCTTAAAATAAAGAAGAAGAAGAAGACAATGCGAATAGAAAGGCAGGGCAATAAAATAAAAACGTTTGGGGCTAAGAGCGTTCCTCAGCAGACAGGACACATAAAATACGACAAGAGATAGAAACTAGTTTTAAAAAACTTAAGTGTTCGCCATTGTCATTGCCGGAAGTTGGCTTTGAAGGCAGTCCTTCCTTCATCTATTATGCTTGATATTTTCATTTATTATCAGCCCAAGACATGAGGTCAAAGGTCAAAAGTCAATTAAATTAGCATTGTGAGACCCAAACTAGTCTTCATATTTTATAGCAAATAAAAAAAAAAAATGAAAAGTTACATTTGCACATTTCTATATTTTTAAAGCTACCGTTTGATTAGTCTCGAGCCGCTGGTTAGTCCTGGGAGTCGTGGCTCAACGAACGTCCCCTCCTCAACCTCCTCAAAAGTCCGGTATAATAAACGCCATGTTCTGTTCAGACTCGCTGCGAGTTCCTCTTCCGCCGCAGCCGGGCGGCCAGGTTTTTTTCCGAGAGCAGGCGACGCCTGTTCCTTTGCTTCCACACCTGCGGCAACCACACCACACACGCCACGGTCGGCGGTCTGCCACCGAAACCGACTGGGTGGATAGGCGGCGGCGATAGTTGGTGGTGTTCGCGGATCACGTGGGACGCGCTCGCTGGTAGGGATGTGTCGTCAGCCACCGGAAGTCTATCATTAGTGATGTCATCGCAAGACCGGGATGCCCTCGCGTTAGTGGGTTGTGGCTCGCGCCGCCGACACACGTGATCTTTCTTCGCTTGGATTGGTGGTAATGGATGCACGTGCTTGTAACTCGGTGACTTCCGGTATTTGGAGTCCGAAAACTGTCTCCGACTCGGGGTCATGACGGCCGATGATACATAACTTGTATCGGATGTCGTGAGCTCATTCAACGATTTGGCGATCTCCTCCGTGCTGGGAGACGTTGGGACTTCGATCAAGACGTTGTCCCCTTCAATCCCATGGTTACCGCCCGAAGCCGGATGAGGCGAGAGAGACGCCGTGTCCCTACTTAACGAATAATCCGGCCGCTGTTTAGCCAACTTATCAAAGCCGCCGTCTTCCAGTCGAAGCACGTCAGCTGTATGCCCAGAACCCGCAGTAAGATTACTGCGCGAGTCTGATGGCGTGTATTGGTCCGATTGGGCAAGAAGGCCGCCGCTACCATGCGTGACGAAGTCCTCAAATTCCTGGAAGAACTGCTCCACGTCAAAATCCTGCCTGCCCCTGAGAACGACCTTGGCCTTGTCGATTAGGGGTTTGCTGAACTCGATCAGGTCTCGCCTAAAGATCTCGTGGTCTCGCTGCCGTTTCTCTTTGCGAAAGTTCAGCCTGGCGAGTAAATTATAGACCTTCATGACTTTAGTGTCATTTTAGTGTCAATTAGTGGCATGGTATAGGTCATTTTAGTGTCAATTAGTGGCATGGTATAGGTCATTTTAGTGTCATTTAGTGGCATAGTATAGGTCATTTTAGTGTCAATTAGTGGTATGGTATAGGTCATTTTAGTGTCAATTAGTGGTATGGTATATGTCATTTTAGTGTCAATTAGTGGCATGGTATAGGTCATTTTAGTGTCAATTAGTGGTATGGTATAGGTCATTTTAGTGTCAATTAGTGGCATGGTATAGGTCATTTTAGTGTCAATTAGTGGTATGGTATAGGTCATTTTAGTGTCAATTAGTGGTATGGTATATGTCATTTTAGTGTCAATTAGTGGCATGGTATAGGTCATTTTAGTGTCAATTAGTGGCATGGTATAGGTCATTTTAGTGTCAATTAGTGGCATGGTATAGGTCATCTTAGTGTCAATTAGTGGTATGGTATATGTCATTTTAGTGTCAATTAGTGGTATGGTATGGTCATTTTAGTGTCAAGTAGTGGCATGGTATAGGTCATTTTAATGTCAATTAGTGGTATGGTATAGGTCATTTTAGTGTCAATTAGTGGTATGGTATAGGTCATTTTAGTGTCAATTAGTGGCATGGTATAGGTCATTTTAGTGTCAATTAGTGGCATGGTATAGGTCATTTTAGTGTCAATTAGTGGTATGGTATAGGTCATTTTAGTGTCAATTAGTGGCATGATATAGGTCATTTTATTGTCAATTAGTAACATGGTATAGGTCATTTTAGTGTCAATTAGTGGTATGGTATAGGTCATTTTAGTGTCAATTAGTTTTATGGTATAGGTCATTTTAGTGTCAATTCATTGTTATGTTAAGGTCATTTTAGTGTCAATTAGTGGTATGGTATGGTCATTTTAGTGTCTATTTATGTTATGGTATCGTCATTTTAGTGTCAATTCATTTTATGTTATGGTCATTTTAGTGTCAATTCATTTTATGGTATGGTCAGTTTAGTGTCAATTCATGTTATGTTATGGTCAGTTTAGTGTCAATTCATTTTACGTTATGGTCATTTTAGTGTCAATTCATTTTATGGTATGGTCAGTTTGGTGTCAATTCATGTTATGTTATGGTCATTTTAGTGTCAATTCATTTTATGGTATGGTAAGTTTAGTGTCAATTCATGTTATCTTATGGTCATTTTAGTGTCAATTCATGTTATTTTATGGTCATTTTAGTGTCAATTCATGTTATTTTATGGTTATTTTAGTGTCAATTCATGTTATTTTATGGTCATTTTAGTGTCAATTCATGTTATTTTATGGTCATTTTAGTGTCAATTCATGTTATTTTATGGTCATTTTAGTGTCAATTCATGTTATTTTATGGTCATTTTAGTGTCAATTCATGTTATTTTATGGTCATTTTAGTGTCAATTCATGTTATTTTATGGTCATTTTAGTGTCAATTCATGTTATTTTATGGTCATTTTAGTGTCAATTCATGTTATTTTATGGTCATTTTAGTGTCAATTCATGTTATTTTATGGTCATTTTAGTGTCTCTTCGTGTTATTTTATGGTCTTTTTAGTGTTATCCCGATGTTATATTCACCGTAGACATAATTAGTGCAATACACAGTGCAAGGACACAATAAAGAAAAAAAACTCTCTTTATCTTCTTTTTCACAGTAGTACCCAATTTTATATGTCGGGTCTGAAACTTCGTAAGGCCAGATCATCCAGCCACATACGCTTAAAAAGAGATACTATTAAAATTTTAAACATACACGCATATATAGTGACATACAAATAGAGTCGCCGACAGATAAGCACACAATTAAAGAGTCCAACGACTACAGAGCAAAAGGGACGCATGCCCAGATGCACATACTCAAAGGTGCACAAAGACCCGTAGACCAGGTACCACAGACATTTATAACCACAGACACCAAACTGACAAACATAACCACAGTCTTTTCATACTCACAGACACATATAATAAAAAAAAAACCTCACACTTACAAACACGTATAATAAAAATATCACCACACCAAAAAATGCCCATACTTTAAGACACATACCTGGCCAAGGCTTTAACGGTGTGCTCGCTTCTCTTCACAAAATCTGCTTGCCTCTGTGTGTTCCGGTGAAGTTCTGTGTTGAGAGGTTTCTCGTTTCGATTTCTCTCCTTCCGTTTCCTTCGGCGTGCGCCTTGACCTGCGACGAGGTAACTTCCGGAAGGCTTCGAAACCTCGAGACCATTACTTGAGCTGTAAATAATTATTGAATTGATTATTATTGATAAACGCTGGCTGAACCTAGTTTATGCTTTTATTTATTCGATTCATATAAGACAGACCTGCACAACTCAAAATGTAAGGCGGGTCGCAATTCTTTATAAAAAAACACGTGCGGACCGAAAGAAAAAAAATAATAAAACCGGGGTTGGGGGGGGGGTGGGGTGGAGAGGAGCTATTAAGAAAATAATAATAAAAAATCTTTATAAAAAAACACGTGCGGACCGAAAGAAAAAAAATAATAAAACCGGGGTTGGGGGGGGGGGTGGGGTGGAGAGGAGCTATTAAGAAAATAATAATAAAAAATAATATTTCATACATCGCGGGCCGTAAAGTGGGTGCTGGCGGGCCGCATGTTGTGCGGGCCTAGTATAAGAGGATTATTCCTACTATTTTTACCAGCAGATAAAACTGTTTTTTTTAATATTAAAAATTTGTTTCGAGTCAGACTAGGGTTGTAACGTACACGTTAAGGGATCCTACGCACATTTTAGTAAACAAATGACTTACCGTAAAATCTTCCCATACACCGGGGCATCACGTATACTAACACACATATTCTGGTGAGGGTCTGAGATTACTCTCTTATGACCCCGGCTAGTTAATTGGCTATCAACGCCATCTTTTGAGCTGAGCCACACAGCATGTTCCTCACAAAGGGTCCTCCAACCGCCCTGGCTTCCCCCGGGAGATCTAGTGAGGGACATTCGGTCTACAGGTGCTCTAGGGTCTCCGGGGCCAGGCTGCAATGCCGGCAGGTAGGATCCCTGTTGTTATCCAGCCGCCAGAAATATGTGCGCAAGGGGCAGTGCTCGGTGCGCATCTGCGTCACTAAGCTCTGCTGTCTGCGGCCAAATCCCCCCCATGGGTCTTGTATGCTAGGAGTGGGGCAAGTTTGAATAGACGCCGCTGGCGGTCGTGTTGTCTGACCATTGCCTGTACCACTTCGTCATGAAATGGTCCGCCAGCCAGTTTTTAATTCCCAAATGAGTTATTGGTACTTCTGGCTGTGGCTGGGCAGCCCCGGTTTTCGCAGAGTGTCCGCTCTCTCATTGCCACTGACGTTGACGTGGCCAGGTATCTACTGTATTGTTACCTTGCCCCCTAGTTCATCGATTTTGCACACGTCATTGGTGATGACGTCGACCACAAACCTTTAGAATACACTATACAGGTCACAGATTGACACAGATGTTCGCTACAAGTCAGGACCCGTAGAATCTAGTTGCGCTGAATAATTCAGCACAGTCGCTATGGTACACAAGTTTCAAAGTAACAAGTGACCATTACCGTGATAAATTTTGAAGAAAAGGCTTTTATGTAGGATACATTGATGGGGATGAAAACGTCTTAAAACTTGATATTTCAGGAACTAAATATCTGATGCCATGATTGAAACCATAACTCAAACTTTAAGACAAAAATTAAAACATAATTTTTTATTTTTTTTATTTTAAATTCTGTTTCCTAAAATCCCACCCCACGGACCCGCCAGGGGTTACAATCAGGCGACGCAATCGGGAATCTCTAATTACCAGTTGCTAGAAACATCAGCTTGTCAATATTTAGTGACGGATTCGAAACTAAAATGTGTGAGCTGTAAGAACTCGAAACTCAAAGTGTTGATTGTTTTCTCTACATGCGGTTGTATCCAAACTTTGCTATTTAACAAGCATAGCATTACCCGGTACTAGCGATAAGCAGTAGAAAATGAAGCAACTAGTAGCAAATGACCAACCTCTCAACTAGCCTAAAAAATGTGTTTTCCATTTTAATAGACAGCAACAATTAATAATTAAACAACTATGAAAACCAATTCTTTTATATTTTATTTTCGTTTATAATAGATTTTTAATTAAATTAATTGTATCTCGGGATTTCCCGAGAAATCCTGTGATCCTGGGATGGGGAAAAGTTTATTCCCGGTTTTCCGGGATAGGCGAAATCCCGGGATATGAAAAATCCTAGTTGTAACCAATCAACTTAAATACTACCTTGGTACATGAGAGTATTTAAATAGTCCTGAGAACAATTACCTTGGTACATGAGAGCTTTTCGACGCAGCATCCAAACTTTGACCATAATCTCGACGACCTAGGATATTTCTTTCAAGGGCTTCAACTCTCGCTTTTTCTACTTTTAGACTGTTGTCCAAGCCTGGAGTTCTTTCCCATATTCTCTTTAGTATTTGAAAGAGAAAATGTGCATAGATTAAGATAAAACTCGAATTATATTATTTGTAATGGCGCCTAATTAAAAATAAACATTTTTTACTATATATTTTATGTACGATTTAAAAATTGTTTAATAAATGTTACTAAAATGGCAGGTTTATTATAATTACTCATATGAACAGCAACTTTTATAACTCAAGGACAATAATTCAGATACATGGGAAGTAATTAGACGACATCGCTACTAACAA